GGGTGTCACAACAAGAACAGCCCAATCATCCGAATCAGAGTCGTCAATATGTATGGAAGTGCCTAAAAATATCAACAGGAAAAAATACTTATAACCAGGAAAAAAGTTGAACAAATCAAATAAATAATTAGCTCCACATCTTTTATATTTATATGACTTACCTTCAGATTCATAAAGAGAAATTTTTTCTCGCAATTTAGGGAAAGGATCACATCCCCAGGATTCACCATACTCAGAGTTTCTCCATTGGTCAAAGAGGTATTGTACCATTCTGGGTGTTGGGTTTACAGCAGAATTAGCACGTATTTCTCCACTGTTTGGCATCAGCTTTAAGGACAAATCATTCATTCGGTAGGCTGCTCCTGGACCAAAGCCTTCACCAAAGTATTTATTTAATTTTTCTTAAGTGTCCTTAGCTACACGTAAGTACTTGAGAGTTTCAAAGCAACCCTTTGTCTTATGATTATGCTGGGTGATAGTTATGACAGCAGGAAGTGGAGTTTCTCTTTTCAAGAAAAATCTGTCATTTTTCACAGTGTCCTTGTTGATTTTTTTAATTTTTATATCTAGACGTGATTTGCATCCCTTATCCCTCTTTGAATTTTTGGATTTGTTTAGTTTACTCAGTTGACACAGCCAATATTTGTGAAACACAAGTCTGATCCAGGAAAATTAAATGAATTAGTAGTGGTACAACAATAGATCTCCTCATTTCAACAGCAAATACCCTCTTCTAAATAAGGAACTTGCACTAAATATTTGAAATGAAATCGACTCCCAAAAAGAACTGAGAAGTTGTTTTCGTTGCCCAATAACTTACTTTTTCAAGTCTTTTGGTTCGTCCTTGATGATCCATTCAGTACTGGTTGAGGATTTGTAGATTTGTAGCCACTCTTCAACCTCCTCTTTGCTGGTGAAGTTGGCTCTTAAAATAAGCTTCCCATCTTTTGACAATTTTTTGTCCTTTTCCACAACATATTCTGAAGGAATATTCATTCTGGACCACCTAGAAAATATTAAATTTGTGTGCCTTAGGATGTACCATCTTATTTTAGAAAAGATGGACAGCTTATACTTACCTATTTGTCTCCTGGAGTCTTTGGAAAAGAAAGCCTAAATCGCGGAATATTCTTGTATGTGCACCTGTAACGGCTCTGCTGGCACTCAACTTTTTTGAATTTAGCCGGTCGTATGCAATGGTGGTTGGCTATACTGTTTCTCTCAAAAAAATTGTCCATTACCGATTCAAGATACTTTGCTTATATTTGGTTTCATATATCACTGATGATCTGACAAAGGGACGTAAGTCCACAAGTTGGCGAAAATGTGTTCTACTGCTTTCTAGAACCTATACTGTATGATACACACCCTAAAATCATTAAAAATATAAAATATAATTTAAAAAGTGGTCACTTATGCTTTTAAAAAGTTAAAAATACATAACATAAAATGCTGAACTATAGCAAACAATTAAAAACATTTAATGGCCATGGCCTTTTGGGTGAGCTTTGTTTCGGGCAACACTGTTAGAGAATTTATGCTTCGGTTTCCTAGACCTCTTTGCCACAGGCATTTTAGCTGGTGGCTTTCCACTATCTACTCTAGCACAACCTCGTCCAAGTTCTGGCCGTCTGCGTGAGGTTGCAGTAGGTTGAACATTAATTCTCCAACTTTTCTTGGAGGAACAATTTGCTCTTGCATTCAAAGAAATTATTGTAGTTGTTGCTTGATTGGGAGTTTTTGCCCTTCGCAAACGTTGCACAAGTCTTTGAAGTGTTCTTTTATGCGAGTCTAGGTCAGATGAGCTCTTTTTGGCCAAGGCAGCGACACGCCTTATTTCTCCAGCTAACTCATCTACTACATTTTGAATGTCTTGGTCAAGTTGGTCAGCATCAATGCTGTTAGTTGTTTCCTGCTCATTGGATGTTTCTTCAGTAAAGTCAAATTCCAATTGATTTTGAGTAATATCATTTGCCTGGTCTGCCATCTGTGACATCATCTCATCTAGATCCAGGTCTAAAACTAAATTTTGATTTTCATCACTTGCATTTATTAATGCCAGATATTCCTGTTGAAAAAGTTAAAATTTGTTATGCATGCTTTTTAATCTAAAAACATTTAAAAACAATGGAAGTGTTGAAATTGTACCTCTGGAACAGTTTCATTCACAGCTACAAAGAAAGTGAATTGTGGGCAGCTCTCTCCAAGAGCAAGCTTTCCTAATTCATATCTTCCAACACAGTTGATGGCAGGCATGTTAGGAAAGGCTCCACCAATTTTCTCATAGAGCAGGGCTTGATGCTTACACATAGCACCTGACCGACCAATAGGGCAGCTGCACCATCCAACTGACGTTTCCACCTCATAGAATAAATCAGGGGTTTTCTCATTACCACTGGGGACGTTGTAGAGGCATCCCTCTACACATTCAACCCGCTCAAAGGCTCCTGTGAAATTTCAAGAATTACTTACATTGATTTACAAGAGCTTTTTTACCTAATCTTGTGTCTCCTTACCTTCAGGCATTCTACTGGACAGTTCCTCAAAGCGAAGCAAAGGGCCAGACTCCCTACCATAGGCATATCGAAGCAGGCGAGACTCAAAATATGGTTCCCAAATATGAGCAACGAACTCCACCATAGCGGTGACATTGAAGGCCTTGGTACGGGTAAGTATGATATCCTTCAAAATTCTTATTGTAGCTTCAGCATAGTTATTGGTGTTATGACCTCTTGAAATGATATCATTCCTAAATAATTTCACCCATTGCTGCTTCTTATCAAGCAGATCTTTTTTTACATGTTTTATGTAATTCTCTTGATTGCATTCCTCTAATAACTCAATGG